AGGATAAAGCAATTTCTGTAAATCCCAATTCCACCAAGGCTCATAATTCCAGCAACTGTGGAATTGATGTAAATATCAAATATGCAGTCTCAAATTTTCTTCATATTTAAGAGTAGAAAATTATTTGAGGAAAATATCTCATTCTCTCCCATAGAACTAGTCTACTAATGAGACATCGCGTATAGTTTAAATCATGAATCCAACAAATTGTGAGTCAACGACATGGATGTAAATAATATATAAATATTCGCTGCAGTTTATTTTTTGCAACTATGTAGCTTTCCTTCTCATATATCATTAATTTCAACACGTCTTTTCTTGATGTTTTTATTGACTTAATCTTCTATTAGATTGTCTTCAAAAATCAGCTCCAAGAATTCTCTCATTTGCGTCTTCGTGGAACTGAATCCCTTAGAAGGCATTAATATCAACCACACAATGGCTAAACATTATGCCCAATAAGATATGGTATATTTTGTAACATTTGTCTTGAAAGGAATATCTCAAAGTATGATGAGGTGATTCATGTGGTAGTCTAATTTCTCATCACACATTCAAATCCGAAAACTGTTGATAACATTTTGTATTCTGGTCTTTCGAGTTTCGCCGTGTGATTTAATTCAACGTAATTGTTCATCAAATATACATATCAAACAGAAAAATTAGGCTTCTTTTTTTCTTTCTTTCAATTTCTTTTCATTGACTAGAATGCATATTTGTCACATCATCTTTTTCTTTGCTATATTGATCATAACAAATCCCATGGAACAAAAAAGAGGCTTCATTTTTATGTTTATGACAGTCAAAGTAACAAATTAAGTTGCTTATAAGCTGAAAGTTGATAACATAAGCCAACGCCCACAAGAATTCACACGGCGAGGAAGAGATGCTTTTTTGGTGAAATAATTTCCATAACAAATGTGGATCATTAAAATGAAATGAAAGGAAAAGTACACGACGAAAAAATTATAAAGCAATTTGTCCAAGAAAATACAATTTCGTGTATATGGTGAATATGTGTATACAAAAACTTTCTGTTTTCTCAGAGAAAATAAAGAAAAGCCTATGCTCAAAAAACAATTTCTAAAACCCAAGAACAAAATTAATCATGAAAAAGAAAGTAATCGAAGTCCTTGAATTACTCGTACTGTTCATTAATTCTCTCACGTATCGTCCACTTCTACATCATTATGAAGTAATTAGCGAGAAATGCAATGAGTAAGAGGTATATTGTAAAACCCCGAAATATTACAAATATGATACGTAGCATATAAGAAGCTTTTGAGTCAATTAACATGATTTTAGAGAGTTGAGGAGCCTAAGTGCAAATTAGAAAAATCATCATGGTCGTTGAGAATATATTATTAAACTATGAATAATAATACCAAGAACTTGTTACTCGAGAAAAATCGAGTTGAGTAATTTAGAAAATTCTAGAAAATTTAAGGACTAAAGTAAAATTATGGAAAAATCTTAAGAATTATGATTTTAAGACTTTATATTGTCGCTTTGATGTGAGAATAGTCTATTTTATGAGCTCAACCCAAGATTGGGCCTAAATGCAAACAAGTACAGAGTTTATGAATTAGATTTCAAATGGGGAAAATACATTTTCAGATGAGAATGTGACAAGTCAAATTTTGAGAAGGATCACCAGATGCAAAGGATTTTGATTTGGACAATTTTTGATAATTTTGAAATGTTAAGGGACTAAGTTGAAAAGAAGTTTTGACGTCAATATTTAATTA